TTTAATGAAGAGCTGACTGGCCAATAGCTAGGCAGGGGAGAATAGGTGGGGCTTCCTGGAAGAGATGGGAACTGTAGGAAGAAGAGAGGTGGGATTTGTCAGCAAGACACAGAGCAAGTCAGATGTACAGTATGGAGGAGAAGTAACAAGCCATGTGGCAGAACACAGATTAATACAAATGGGTTAATTTAAGTTTTAAGAGCTAATTGGAAATAAGCCTAAGCTAAGGCCAAGCTTCATAATAAGAAACCTCTGTGTCATTATTTGGAAGTTGATGGTCCAAAGAAAGTCTGACTACCATTGGTGCTCAATGGAGGCACCAGATGATGTGTTTATCTAAGTTGTTCTCCCCCCCACCCTTTGGTTTTTTGAGACAGGGTTTCTCTGTGTAGATTTGGTGCCTGTCCTGGATCTCGCTCTATAGACCAGGCTGGCCTCAAACCCACAGAGATCTGCCTAGTTCTGCCTCCCGAGTGCTGGGATTAAAGGCGTGCACCACCACCGCCCGGCCTAAGTTGTTCTATTACCAATAAAAACTCAGGAATCAAATATAGGGGTGAAAACCTGACAGATCAAAGATGCAGCAAAGGAGTGACCAGCTGACCTTCTCTCCACACTTCCCAGACTGAAGAGAGGTGAAATCTCTAAGTCCCGCCCTCCTCCTTCCTGTGCATCTTCTCCATCTGTATTTCTGGCTTCTCTATGGCTAACTCCAGTCAGCTAGCCACTGGTTCCATCTCCTGATTCAAGGTTCACTTTATCAACACAGTCTCAGAGTGTCACAGTGCAATCAAGTATCCCACAACAATCAATTGGCCCTGTCATTTTGGGACCCATCACAAGTCAGCATGTGACAGTCAAAAAAACAAAAAGAGCAAGAGGAAGAATGCAGAGTCCCACACTAGCCTTGGCAAAAATGATCCCAACAACCTAAAGTCCTCCCGCTGGGTCCCTCCACTTCTCAGTAGTTCTAACACATGGGCATTTAGGGCACACCAAAAAGAGTCAGACCTTAGCAGGTCCACACTTACAGTATGATTTATCACTGTTGGTACTGGCTTTGACCTCCAGAGTACAGTCCTGTCTGTCATGGTTTCCACTGTGAATTTACTTTCTCTCTCTCTCTACTGCCCTTTTGAAATGGTAGTTACTGTGTGCAACCCACACTTGAAGAATGATGAGTTATGTTTTACCTCCCTGAAGGTTGACTATTGACATGAAGTGCTTGGAATTCTTCTGCATAAAAGAATTATATTTTCTCCCTCATTCATTTATTCAATCATCTGTTTGTATTATTATTAATTCATGAATGTTTGTTTTATGCTGTAGTCAGACTTTCTTTGGACCACTAGCTCCTTATAATAACATGAAGACGTCTTATAAATTATGAAAACTTGACCTTAGCTTAGGCTTGTTCCCAACTAGCTCTTAAAACTTAAATTAACTCATTTAATTAACCTATGTTCTATCACATGACTCATTACCTCTCCTCCATACTGTCCGTCTAACTTCCTCCAGGTCTCACTGACAAAATCTCTGCCTCTTGGATTCTTCCCCAGGGTTCCTCTCTCTCCCTGGAAGTCCTGCCTATCCTCTCCTGCCTAACTATTGGCCATTCAGCTCTTTATTAAGCCAATCAGAAGGTGCCTTGGCAGAGACACATCTTCACAGTGTACTAAAAGATAATCCCACAACATTATGCTTTGGATAATAATCCCGCCCTATTTTATTTTGCTTTTAAAATTGTTCCAACTTTGGCCATTGGGAGAGATAATACATTTTAAAAGCTATATTCACTTTGATTGATTTTTCTATTTCCTGAATTAGTAATGGAGTGTTACGAGAGCTGCACAGACCCTCACAGCTACTCTTCTCTGCGTATGGCTCTGCCCCGCTAACTAGGAAAAAATATCATTCGACACAAGAAAAGAATTTCAGTCTCTGATCTACTAACCATTATTGGTGAAATTATTAAGGCCACTCCACATAGTTAAAAGGAGATTTATTTAATGGCGTAACTTACAAATGAAGGGATAGGTAGGTCACGGGGTCTGGGGAAGGTGTATCGCAGTCCAGCGGTGTTCTCTGGAGCTCTGCTTGGCCCACCTCCACCGTCCAGGGTCCCGGAACCGAGCGAGAGAGTGCTGGCCCATCCAGATCTCGGGTCTCCAGGCACCTCCCTTGGCCCCGCCTTGTAGGCGTGACAGTTGCCGAAGTCTCTTTGGGGGTTGGAACTTCCAGATCAAAGCTGGAATGGCTGCCCACTACAAACCATCTGAGAGCTATCATAAATACAGTGGTCAGATGAATGACAGCCAGCAAGTCCTACTGTAAACTTCAACCACTTGTGCACATGTCAGTGGTGGTGAATCACTGTGTTAAAAAGAGGAAGAAGCCGGGCGGTGGTGGCGCACGCCTTTAATCCCAGCACTCGGGAGGCAGAGCCAGGCGGATCTCTGTGAGTTCGAGGCCAGCCTGGGCTACCAAGTGAGTTCCAGGAGAGGCACAAAGCTACACAAAGAAACCCTGTCTCGAAAAACCAAAAAAAAAAAAAAAAAAGAGGAAGAAGTCACCAGGAAAGAGAGGAGATGCATGCCAGCCAGTATCATAGTTTAATACTTGACATGAGAATTTCCTTGGAGATTTTCATGTATCTAATAGCCAGCATCATCAGACAAGTCTCCAAGCCTTCCTGACACAAGCGCTCTTGTCTACTCAAAGGAGACAACACAGAGGCTTAAGAGATGGCTCAGAGCTCAAGGGTGCCTGTTGTTCTTTCAGAGTACCCACGTTCAGTTCTCAGCTTGCAACCTCCAATAACTCCAGCTCCAGGGGGTCCTATGTACTCTTCTGGCCTCTACCACAACCACCCATACAAGGTATTCAACACACACACACACACACACACACACACACACACACACACACATACACACACAAGATAATGTCACTAAAAGTGAATGAATTTGAGAAAAACTCAAAGAAATCTGATTACTAGGTCTATTTAATTGTTACATATGTCTTATTCATATAATATTCATGAATGTTCAGCAAATTACATAAAGTATAAATATGGGGGGGCAAAGACGATCTTTCCCTTATTACCAGGTTTTCTTGAAAACTTGGCCCCACATTGAAAGTGGGGGATTGGGGAGTGGGATACATGCAGGTCCCAATTCTTCCCCTTGCTTCCTTCTCAGGTCGCTGAGGCTGTGACATATTGTCCATAAAATATTCAAGTTTACCACGTTATACGTTGCCTGGAGAACTGTGAGAACCTATTTTTGCTGTTTATCATATGTTCTGTGCTCTACAAAGATGCCTCATTCTGACCAGCTGAAATTTAGAAATGTTTAACCTGAAAAGCATATTAGAAACCACACAATGAACTTTTCAAACAAAAATGAGCCGGTTGGTGGTGGTGCACATGCCTTTAATCCCAGCACTCAGGAAGCAGAGGCAGGTGGATCTCTATGAGTTCAAGTCCAGACTGGTCTACAGAGCAAGTTCCAGGACAGGTTCCAAAGCTACACAGAGAAACTCTGTCTCGGGGGGGAAAAAGAGAGAGAGAAAGAGAGAGAGAGAGAGAGAGAGAGAGAGAGAGAGAGAGAGAGAGAGAGAGAGAGAGAGAGAGAGAGAGAGAAGGGACAAATGCTTCCCCAAATGCCAGCTCTTTGTGAGGAATAGGTGAGTTCAGCGTTAACCTAATAAAAACATTGTTAGCTTGGGAATGAGGTGGGAGGGGAGAGGATGTTCTACTGGTGGAGACACAGGGCTTATTTGTTAAAGTGAAAATGAGATAATAACTACAAAAATGCTATAAAGTACTTAAGTTCGTGTACAGATCTCTGCTCAGTAAAATCACTGCCATGAAAACAGTTATGTCAAGTGCTATCAAAGTCCTAGAATTGTTCCAGTAAATGACTGGGTCTGTGCACTAACTGGAGCATCATGACAAGATCTATTTTGGTTGGTGGAAGTACCCCACACCCCAGAACTATTAGGTCTCAGGCTGCCCAAGTATCCAGAAATGAACTCAAGCTGAACTATAGGATTTCTGGCAGCTAGATAAAAGCCAGCATTCCTCAGGAACTTGTGAAACTGGTTCCCATCTGCCAAAAGGAGTCATTTCCCTTACGTCTGGCAGAAGGGACATATGGCTCCTTTGACCTGTACCTATGGCTGCATATCAAAGCCCATGCTGGCCTCCAGGCTCCCCATGCCAGTCTCCTGGCTCTTCCCTCCCCCAGCTACTCATTCTCCTTATAACCCTGGCCGTGTCCAGTCTGTTTTTCCTTCTCTCTGCTCTGGACCCTTCCAGATGCCTCTGGATGTTCTTTCTCTCTCATATCTACAATAAAAACCTTCTCCAATAATGGAACAGTCATGTTGGGACTTTCTTTACAGTGCCCGCTCACATACAAGAACGCATTTCTAAGGCATTTTATGCCTAAATGTTAAAAAGATTTACTGATGTGTAGGGTTTCCCATGCCTGGTTGCAGGGCACTTTGTGTGGTGTTCCTCCAGGCTATTGGAAACTGGGATATGCGGCAGGAGAAGGGCTTTTGGTGAGAAACTGGCTCCTCCTAGAAGCCCTAGAGATGATAGCAGGCATTAGGAGGATACTTGGGGTAAACAGGACAAGAGCATCAGCATGATCCAGGACCCCGGGGAAAACACTGCCTGAGATGAGCCAAAACCTAGCCCTCTCTGGAGTGTCCAGGGGCTGACTAGAGTAGCTGCCCTGTGGAAGGGCTTGTCTCCAGGCCTGCTGGAGGGACTAGGGTGATGTGGTGGGGCAGAACTGAGGATACCCCTTCTTTAGTCCTGTTCACAGCACTGGAAATCCTAGACAGGGTGTATTTTTTTTATTTTTTTTTGTACAGGTAAATATGAACATCAAGAGCAGGCAAGGAGAAGAAAATGAGCCAGGGAATCGTGTGTGTGTGTGTGTGTGTGTGTGTGTGTGTGTGTGTGTGTGTGTGTGTGTGTGCTTGGATGTATGTGTGTGTGTATGTGAATGTGCATGGGTATATGGGTGTGGATCTGTGTGTGTGTGTGTGTGTGTGTGTGTGTGTGTGTGTGTGTATGTGTGTGTGTGTGTGTTTGAATGTGAATGTGCATGAGTATATGAGTGTGAATCTGTGAGTGTGTGTGCTTGGATGTGAATGTGCATGGGTATATGGGTGTGAATCTGTGTGTGTGTGTGTGTGTGTGTATGTGTGTGTGTGTGTGTGTGTGTGTGTGTGTGTGTGTGTGTGTGTGTGTACCTGGATGTGAATGTTCAAGGATGTGTTTTTTCTTTCTCACCCACCTTTCCTTGACCTCCTGAGCTTGACATGAGGCCAAAGGGAAACCTCACACCCAGGGAAACTTGCAGTCGTTCACCCTTCCCCAGGAGCTCTGGTCCTGGGTTCAGAAAGGCCATTTGAGGAGCAGCAAGCTCACCAACATGAGTTTACCAGATGACTACCAGAACTTGCAAAATCCTCAGACAAGCACATGCAAGGGATGAAAATCAGTCTCTCACAATTAGTACATTTTAACACTCAAGTAAAAGAATTCCCAAGGATGATAGGATATTTGTTGGCTTTTAAGGACAGTGATCTTAAGGTTTTTTAAAGAACTGTAGTTTCTAAAGCTGAGAATTTTTATTTTTATTTTTATTTTATGTATTTATTTATGTATGTATGTATGTATTTATTTATTTACTAAAGTCTGAAGTGTGGGCTTGTCTTGGAAGTGGGGTCTGGAGATTCCAGTTTGGAAATCTTTTCGGAGCCTGGGCTGGAGGTGAGCAGAGGGACCTTCTCCCTCACAAGTCTCCAGTTTCCCCTTGCTCCAGCACGGGCCTTGCCTTTGTTTCTCATTGTTCCCTGCTGGCACATTTAAATGCTCACCTGGCCTCGGCCAGGGTTTTGAGCCTCTCCCTGATCTACCCAGGGAGAAAAGAGAATAATAGTGACGGATGAGAGCCGACACTGAGAGGTTGACAAGGGAGCAGGGCTTACAGGAGTGAAAATGGGGGGAAGGATGGAGAACGGAGACTTCTGAGAGATAGAGCCTACAGAGATGAGGAGTATAAAATCAGTGATTGGGAAATAATCCTGACTAAAGACTCTTGAGGAAAAAAATGTTAAGCGGGAGGTGCAAAGTTGGATTTCTGTGGTGCTTAATCAAATGTAGCTACAAACACAAACTACATATGCTTTATAATGACAGATTTTACAAACTGAACATTTATAAAATTTAATTAAGGCCCAGGATTCTGAGAAACTCTGAGACAATTCCGCTCATTAGGAGAGCATTTTAAAATCACCCAGAGACCATTTTCCTACGCACAGTACAGTGATGGACTCAAATTCTTTGGGTATATTTCAATTTCTGGAAGAAAAAAAAAGAACCCACGTGGTGTGTATCTACCCATCTTTTAAAAATGATTAAATGCTAGTCTTGGAGATTAGAATTGTAAAAGAAAAAAAAACATAAAGAGGGAAATGAGATCACATGGATTTATCTAAGTGAAATAGCCGAATTTGACTTCAGCTATTCTAAACAGGCCCCCAAGGCTCTTGAAATTTAAGAATAAAAATTACTGCAAATGAGCCAGAGTCACAAGTGGTCAGAGAGGCTGACACTGAAATCAGCAAGAAACTGCTTATTTTGCCTCTTGAAACAAAAATGAATTGTTTTGATGAATGGGAATTCCTTAATGAGTTACCATATGACATGCCAGCAATTTTTTCAATGTCAGCCACAGAAAGTTTTCATTTGTCTTTTGTTCGGCTACAGCTGCTTAAAAATAATAGAAGGTCAAGGCCACCAACACAACACTTCCCATTGTGGCCGTGGAGAGGCAAGATGTGCCCACCCTTCACCTCAGGAGAGGAAGACCAGCCCTCCTCCACCCTCCAACCTCCCTCTTGCCCTTCCTTTGCCTACACAGACTCCAAGCAGACACCAGTGGACTCACACATTGTGTCAGCGTGGGGGTCGGGTGGCCACATTAAACTCTAGGCTCCCAGGACAAGGATAGTGTGGGGAAACCTCAGGAGAAGGCTTGGCACCAGGGAAGGACATTGAGTTAGAAAGAAGAGTGTCTGGGGGCCATAGTGAGAAAACAAACAAACCGGAAACAGAGTCACTACACCTTACTCCAACGCCCTAGAGATTTCTTTCTCTGTACTCACATACACTTCAGTGCTGATGACAAAAGGGTGCAGAGGGATACTTCCTCACACCATCCAAGTGTGTCCTTCAGTTTGACTCATCTTCACACTGGCTTCCCAGAGTTAGCACAAGCCCCCGGGCCCCACAGGACTGTCCACACTGCAGATTGCTGGTTTTGTACTGGCCTACCAAACTTGTGCCTGACTGGCTATAAATCACGAGTTCCCTACATTCATCCTCCTTGGGGTAGGTAGCTTGGTCATGTTTACTGGTTCACTGAGAAGGGCACAAACTCAGGAACAGCCAGAAGGAAGGGATGCATAGAGTCAGGTATAGGGGAAGGGCTGTGAGGTTCCTTGGGGCCTTGACCCTCACAGCTCCTCTGTGTTCACCAACCTGGAAGTTCTCCAAAGCCTGTGGTTTAGGGTCTTTACGAAGCATATTAACTAGCTTCCTTATCACTTTGCTCACTACCTGGAAAACAGACAGACAGACAGACAGACAACAAGGAAGGAAGGAAAGATTGATTTTGAGCCATGGTTTCAGAGGGATTCAGTTCACCAGGGAAGGGAGGGGACCATGGAGCAGGGCTGCTCATGTTACAGTGGGCCAGCATGTGGTGGTATTGTGTTCCCCAAAATATTGTGTATCCTAATAAACTTATCTGGGGTCAGAGAACAGAAAAGCCACAATATTAAACATAGAGGATAGGCAATGATAGCACACGCCTTTAATCCTAGCATTCCAGAGGCAGAAATCCATGTGTTCAAGAATACAGCCAAGCATGGTGACTCACGCCTTTAATCTCAGAAAGCAAGCCTTTAATCCCAGGGAGTGGTGGTAGAAAGCAGAAATGTATATAAGGCGTGAGGACCAGAAACTAGAAGCTTTTAACTGGTTAAGCTTCAGGCTTTCGAGCAACAGTTCAGCTGAGACCCATTCCGGATGAGGACTCAGAGACCTCCAGTCTGAGGAAACAAGACCAGCTGAGGATCCGGCGAGGTGAGGTAGCTGTGGCTTGTTCTGTATCTCTGATCTTCTAGCTTCACCCCAATACCTGGCTCACAGGTTTGATTTTATTAATAAGAACTGTTAAGATTCCTGTTACACCAGCAAGCAGCAAATGATAGGAAATATCCAGGGATGAAACACCTGAAGGTCAGACCCTGGTGCCCAGCTGCCTGCTGGGAGTTGTGGCAGGGAGCCAATGTTTCCAGTGGGGACGTAGTATCCAGACACATGGGGACCTTTCAGGCTCAAACTGGAACACAGCGGCTGCACCACCACCATTCTATAGACATGACTGATGAAATTGTTGGCCATGGGGGAGAGGGCTAAAGGTGCTAAGCCTCATTTGTTGGTTCCCTTAGCAACCAGCTCCCATCCTTCAAGGCTTTTTCACTCAGGCATGGCTGAAAGAGACTTACCTCCTCCACTCAGGAAATTCCAAGGTGTTTTAGGAGCTCAGTACTAGGACCTGGGGATGAAGACCAAATTTACTTTTCTTATTGTGTCGTAATATCACACAGGGTGAGGGCATAAATGGAAGAGACCATAAAACCAAAAGCATTAGGTGGAGGCAACATAGGGCTGAGATGTGCCAAACAATCCAAGTTCAGAAACTGCAAAAGTCAAACGGATTTGGGGTTTGAGGATAGCAACTACTCAGGAGCTGTTTCTGCTAAAAAACCATCGGCTCCTCACATGGCCCCATGAAGTACTAAAAACAAGATGAAGACGGCATCATTGCCTTTATTTTGAATCTATCTCCTTTACCTTGAGTGATCTGTTTACCTCCACATGCAGGCGTGTTAATCAGGCACAGGAGTGTCTATCATCATCATCATCATCATCATCAACAATAACAACAACAACAACAACAACAAAAAACCAAGTGAGTCCTAACCTATCCCAATCCTCCTTCAAGGCACAGAGGAAAAGAGCAATAGAGGCATCTCACTGTCCCTTTTACAAGGTTCCACTCCGGTATCTTAAAGGATACCTTAAGGCCTCCAGCCATTGCTGAAGCCTGAGTTCACCTTAGCTTCTAGGAATAGCAGAGCCTCAGAGATAGTGAAGTGATGGGCTAGAACCCCACATCTCACCCCTTCTCAAGCATAGTCAAAAGCACTTGTGGGAACTAGATTGTCATCTCAAGCAGTAAGGACTTCCTTGGACCACCCTGAAGAATAAGTACCGAGATAATGAACAAGCGCCCCACACTTTAACCAAGGCTGCTTACTTATGCATGCCCTCACTTTCCATAAAGCTCATGTCATCACCCCCATCCCCTACCCCAGAGTCACTGGGTGCCTTTATCCGTACCTCCCAACATAGCCACATCAATTAAGTCTTTTCTGCCATTCATCATTTCTAGTCTCTTAAGTTGGGATGGTAGGATGGGTGGCTGGACCTAGTCTATCAGTATCCCAAGAGATTGGCCTTGTGCCTGGATACCCCAGAAACATTAGCAATTGCAATTCTGGAGATACACACTCAGATAGTCCTGACTGTGTGTTTCAAAGATGGCATTACAGCTAGAAGGTTTTTGTTTGTTTGTACCTTAGTTTTAAAGATGTTTCCTAGGTTGGATCCGACTTCTTGGCTCCAGGAATCCTCGAGTTGCAACTGTTGGGAGGAGGAGAGAGATTCTTCCTGCTGGGCATCCAGAGGTGAGGCTGGGTGAGGCCATCCTTCTGAGCCATTTGTCCCTGTGAGTAGAGAGCTTCCCAAGCTTTTAGCTGACCCACAAGAAATGTGAAAGAGCTTCTGAGACCAGCTAAGTCTGTGCCTCTAGGGTTTAATGTGCACACTCCATCCAGTAGTTCCTAATTGCCATCTTCCTGGGAGTCAGCTGAGTTGGAATTCCATTCACTTAAAACCTGGAATTCTGGGATGGCAAGACAGCTCAGTGTGTAAACACACACACACACACCACCACCAACAACAACAACATTGTAACAATAAAAATAGTAATAATGATGATAATGATAATAAAAACTCTAGGGTTCTGACCAAGCCTCCTCACCTTGAAAATAAGGAGTCTTAAGTGTGGTCCAGAGACCATACAAAGAACAGAAGGAAACTAATAGTGACTGTGAGAGACAGAGATGGAAACACGTGTGTCTTGGTATCATGGCATCATCTCAGAGGGTTTGCTTTCTGTTGGAAGGAGTCTTTACCCTCTGGAAAAATCTTCACTCTAGACCACATTAGGTTGATCAAATCACCATACTCCCATCAACTTTAATACCAGACCTGAATATTAAGAAGGTTCAGAAGAAATAGACACCATGGAGTAAGACATAGTCATCACTTGGCCAAGGGTTAACTTTCCTGTTTGTTAGAGACAGGCTGACTGTTTAGACAGGTTCCTGTGTTGACTAATAGAAGATACTGGTTAGAAGATACCAGAGATTAAGCTGTGTATGGTGATATTCCCAGCACTCAGGAACCTGAAGCAAGAAGGTCTTGGGTTTGAGGCCAATCTGAGTTGTGAAACCTGTCTAAGGAGAAACATGTGGACCAGGGGGATTAAACAATAGTTAAGATTACTGCCCAGTATAAAATACTGGTTTTTATTTTTCATCTTTTCTCTTCAAAACTAACCACCACCACCAAATCCGAGGCTCAGCTAGAGCACATGTTGCCAGTCAGCTTCTCCTGTGCCACCTTATTACCACGGAACCAAAAGCAACTGGGCCACCAGTCACGGGCTTTAACAAAACACCCAAGGCAATCGAGATAGAGAAAAGGTCGACTTTTGATTCACCAGTTTGACTCAGAGTCCACGGGTGGTGGGAACACTGTGGAGCAAAATGCTCACCTCACAGCCACAAAACAAAAGACAGAAGTGGGAAGGGCCAGGGTTCTGTAATCCCTGTGGAGAAAATACCCTCAGTGACCTAGAGCTTTCCCATAGGCTCCACCTCTAAAAGGTTCCACGACCATCCAATAGCACCAACCCAAGGAGCAAGGCTTTATCACTCACTCATGCCATTTAGTGCCCATACTATCCATCTTTCTCTATTTCAGAGTGGCGGTGAAGTCTTCTTATGCTTGCCACTACTGGTTCACTCCTGCTTCTCAGTGAGTGCACACCCTTCCATCCTTCAGCCTGAAGTCTTCTTCTCACCACCACCCTTGGCCTGCAGGACCCCTCATCAGAGGAGCTTGCTGTACTCCACTGTGCTCACTCTCTGCCAGGAAGAGGATTTAGACACCAAGAGGACAAGGATTATCAAAGCCCCATCTGGACTGCTCAGCAATGCGAGACTGCCTTGCTACCATGAGAACCAGCTGACCCATTTTGTAACACCCAAAGTGAGCCAAGGCTAGCTTGCTTGTTGAGATAAACCATCTTAGAAGATGTTCTTTCATGGTCAGGCAAAGATACAGGAACGGCAAGTCCTGGTGGTCACTCCTCTCCACCCCAGCTCCTTAACTCATGTCGAAGTACCAGAAGCAGAGGTTCCTTTTAGGTTCCCATGGAAATGATCTGCCCCGGAGAGCTGTGTTAGTCTTTCCATCGCTGTGACAAACACATGAGAGAAAGGTTTAAAGAGAAAAAATTTATTTTGGCTCATGATTTTAAAGGTTTCAGTCCATCATCGGCTACCGCCATTATTTCTGGTCTGTGATGAGGTAACCCTATCCTGGTAGACAGTGTGACAGTTGCAAGCTTCATGGAGATCAGGAAGTAGGGGGAGGAAGAAGGAAAGGGGAGGGGGAGAGGAGAGATAGGGGAGAGGGGTCCTGAGGTTAAAACCCATTTCCCCAGTTTCTGCCCACGGAAACCCCTGAACAGCAATAGTGCCCCTGGTTTCTCCCCAGTTGACTGTACTTAATCTGTGTGGACCACCAAGAAGTTTTGTGTCTATACTTTTCCTTGGGGAATAATTTCTTTTTCACTTCTTCAGGACAGCAGTAGAGTGCTCTGTCCCTCTTTGGGGTGGCAGTAGAGTCCATATTTACCAGCTCAGTAAATATCCCTGGCTGGCTGTGGGTGGTCTTCTCGTCGGCCTTTTGGGCTTCTGTTCATAAGCTCCAAAGGAATATGAAAAAAAAAAAGCAAAGGGCACTGAAACCAGGCAGGCTTCATCAGCCAATACCATGCGGAAGGGCGTGTCGGGAGGAAAAGCTAGGAAAAGGTGACATGGTTGATGCTTGGGGCTTAGTCACACAGGGACATTTTTCTGAGACTAAACTATCCAGAATCTTTCTTTCCTGCCAATCACTGGGGCAAGACTTGCATACCCTCCTGTTACTTCACCTAAGGCTCTTCCCAAGCTGGTCACCAATTAGTTTAGAAACTCTCTTCCCCTCTGGAAGTGGATTCTTAGCTGCAGAAGGCAGATCACCAGAGGAAAGGGCTTAGCTATAATGACAGTTCACCACCTGTCACCTTCAGGTTCTGTCTCCTTGCTCAAGCCAGCACTCTAGGGACCATTTCTGGATCGTCCCTCTGACTCAAACCTTCCCTCCCCCATGCCCTACTCACCATAATGTCCTACCAATCCAGTTTTACTGCGTGCATCTCCTTCACATCAGCCTATTTCCTGTTGTTTCCATACTGCCTCCCTCCAAGCCGTGCCTCTCACCTGCAAACTATCCACTCCCCGCCTGCCCCCTCCTCCACACACGTCTTTCCACATGTCCTTTCATTTGAAATCTGGATCTGGTGGTTCAGCCCTGTTATCCCAACTACTCAGGAGGCTCAGGCAGGATTACCACAAGTTCAGGGCTTGCCTAGGGAACAGAATGAGTTCAAGGCTAGCCTGGATAACTTAGCAATACCCTGTGTCAAAAATCAATCAGTTAATCATCTACCAGCAGGGAGTTGGTGAAATATAAAAGGGTCTAGCGTCTGCTTAGCATGATTCAACCTAGAGAAAGAGAGGGAAAGAAGGGTCCCATTGTTCCCGTTAAGGGCATGTTCCTAGTGACCTAACTTCCTCCCATTGGCCTCTCCTAAAGATTCTGCCAGCTCCCCACACCAAGTCTTATGGATGTGTGCCTTTGAAGAGTTAATGTAGTTACTTTTCTTATTGTTACGACAAAATATCTGAAAGATGCCACTTAAAGAAGTGTTTGTGTCAGCTCATAGTTGGAGACGACAGTCAGTCCTTCATGGTGGGGAAGGTATGGCGTCTGTAATGTGAGGTGGTTGGTCACACAGCATACATACTCAGGAAACAGATGAATTCTGGTGCTCAGCTAGCTCCATTTTCTCTCTTTTTATTTTATCTAGAACCGCAACCATAGGATGGTGCCATCCACATTCAGGATGGATCTTCCCTCCTTCCCTAAACCTCTCTTGAAACATCCTCACAGAGGTATCCAGAGGTATGTCACCTAGTCATTCTAATGCCAGTCAACCTGTTCCGGGGGACAGTCCAGGTCCAAACTATAGTACTCTGGTCTCTGCCCGACTCCCCAGTCTCATCAGCGGCACAGTGCCTGGTCCATAGAACGCTGATGTTTGGTGACTAATGGAAATGCCACATATAGTTGTTAGCTAAATGTATACATTTAAGAAATGAATGAGTCTACCTTCAGACTCCCCCGATAGGACTGTGCATTACCTCCCACACCATGCCTTCACAGCGTAGCAACAGACACAGGCTCTATTCGAAGTCAAGTGCTACCATGGGTCAGAGTTGCCATCCCAGGTAACTAAGCACTTTTCATCCATCCTACACCAACTCTTGTCTTTCTTCTCATAGCCCATCCTGACAAGGATTCCATAATCTTGTGCATTTATCTTTTTTATATACTTCAGCTGAATATGTTGAGTGAGAATGAATTCAATTGAGTTTTTGATTAGTTAATTATGGTTCTCTTGATGTATAATCTAATTTCTCAGGACTTAGGATCTTGGATATCTTAAGAATATTTTTTTTTTCATTTGCAGTGATGGTTCCTATACCACTCCACTACTATGCATCCCTTGGGGCCCTCTTCTCCTTCCTTGTATCTGCTGGTCAGAATGCCACCTGTTTCTATACCGTGGGTCTGAATGGGTTATCAGCCATCTCTCTAATACACTATTCTAGAATCACCAAAGTACTATTGAACTATGTTTCATAGTTAACATAGACCAAGCTTTATTACAGACCCAGAGTTTCCAGAAAACAAGAAGTTAGTAGGGCCCCTTTTCCTACCTGAACTCTCACCATTATGAAATGCATGATCAATTTGCTCTTTGAAGTTTTGACTAACAGTCACATAGAAGAATTCTAGCTCAGAATAAATCCTTTATGAATGAAGAAACGATTCAGATTTAACCTTCCCCATCAAAGCACGCCCTTTCTGGATGTGTTTTCCACTAGTTACGTTAATGGACTGCCCTTGTTTGTGTGGATTTGGTGTTTTTGAGACAAGGTCTCGTTCTGTGGTCCAAGGTGACTAGGAACTCAATTTGTAACCCAGTCTGGGCTTGAACTCACCACACTCCTCCTGACTCAGCATCGTGACTGCTGAGATTATAGACAAGAGCCACTGTGCCTGCTTAATGGGTTGCCTTTGAAACCAGGGCCAGTATTTATACAAACAGGCATCTTCCTGAATACTTTCCACTTTCTATATTTGGAAACTGACAGCCAAACACCAACCAAAACCTGTCTGACTGGAGGCAAATTTACTCCATGGGCTCCATGTCTGATCTGAGTTTCTATTGAGATGAAATATTCAACAGATCATTGATTGAATT